ACTCAAACTTCTCTTATCTCTAATTAGAGTCACTACGGTCTCATTTCTAGGTGAATAAGCCTCCAACATAATCTTGACAACTTTATGATCATCTAGCTCATCACAACCATAGCCTCTAATCTTGCCTACCATTGTCATCAACCTATCAAACATCTTTTGTGGCCCTTCTTCATCCAAGATTACAAACTGGTTGAGCTTTGACATCAACAAATCAATTCTTGCCTTTCTCACTTTGTCAACCCCTTCATGTGTTAGGTGCAAAGTGTCCCATATTTGCTTGGCAATATCAACCCCAATCACTCTATTGGACTCATCATCATCCAAAGCACTAAGCAACACACTTATGGCTTGACCATTGAGGTGAATGATTCTCATCTCTTCTAGTGTTAGGTTCTTGGGATCAACCGGTGGCTCAAATTCATTGCAAACAATCTCCCAAATGCCGGGGTGAAGACCTATAAGATAGGCTCTCATCAAGTGCTTCTACTTGGCAAAGTTAGTCCCATTGAAATGGGATAGCTTGCCCGCGGGCACATTGATGAAAGACCTTCGATCATGGTTAGTCATAGGTATAGAAGAGTAGTTAAAGGATACGGTGGCATATTTGTTGTTGTTGGCTTTGCTCTTTCCTCTCTTCTCCTTCTTGTACCCCTTCAACACTTGGTAGGACTCATCGTCATCTCCATCTTCGGAACTACTTGATATGTCACTTGATGATGTATTTGTTGCCTTCTCTTCTTCTTCATTCTTCTTCCTAGCTTCTCTCCTTCTTGCTTCTCTTTTGAGCTCTCTTTCTTCTTTTCTTTGCTTCTTGTCTTCTAACTGTTGCTGCTCCTTCCTCTATCTTGCTTCTCTTTTGAGCTTTCTTGCCTCCTTCGTTCTTCTCTCACTGTCATTGAGAGCTCTTTCGGCATTGGTAGCCTCAAGATATGGTAGCGTGGTGTTGCTTGCTGTTGATGCACTCAACTCGCTGATGTCGGTGTCGACATTCACCGGCTTCACACCATCAGTTCCTCCTCTGGGCTCCATACCTCACGTGGTGAAGCACACATGAGGTAACCTATCTCTGATACCACTTGTAGGATCTCTGGTTAGCCTAGAGTGGGGGTGAATAGGACTGTCAAAACAAACACTCAAACTTTCATCAAATTCAACCAACGGCACTGCCACTCTAACCTCGCGGCACTGCCAGATAGCGGCACTATCGGGCTAGAACAACGGCACTGCCGCACCTGCAGACAACTTCGAGTAACTGTTCAAAATTAGTGAATGTAAACTTGAATCGAAGAAATTTCTTAGCTTCTTGCAGGTATGAGAATCACAGATCGAGAGCTAAAAGTGGTAGGAACACAACACACAAGTAGATCGACCACAAACCCTAGAAATCACCTCAACAACAATATGAAATGCAAATGATGTAAATCAAGCACAAGGTGACACGATGATTTAACCCGTGGTTCAGCTCGCCACCAAGGCTTGCCTACGTCCATGTTGTTGAGGTTAGCCACTAAGTCTTAGGGCTTTGCAACCCTTCCTCGTTCTCAAGTCAAGAGACTCAACTCTTGAGATGAGGGGTGAGTTTACTAGCTTCAAGAGGTGGTTACAAACCTCCTGGGGCTGCCACACAAGTTGGCAAGCTCCACGGGTGACGCTCTAGCCGGCTAAGAGCAAAGCTCCAAGAGTAATAAACACAACCGCTAGCCAAAATATGAACCAAGTGCTCTTTTGAGTTGGGGAATCAAAGGATCATCTCTCTAATTGAGTATGGGACCTTTTTCTCTCATGTATTGATGGGGAAATCAAGGGAGAATGCTTGGGAGCTCAAGGTCACCAATGGAGGAGAGAGAGAAGGGCACTCTTCTATTCTTGGACGAGCTAAATGAGTGGGAGAGAGAAGAGAGATGCTGGGGAGGAAGGGGAAAGGTATAAGTACCCCCAGCCCCAACAGTCACTTAAGTCACGGTAGTGTCGCGGCTCAAGTGCGGTAGTGCCTCTCTCCAGGTGCGGCACTGCCGCACCAGGCAAGACAGCAAGGGTAAGAGTGAAGTGTTGGCTGTCTTGGCAGAGTAACTGAGGATGTATGTGTAAGATTCAACACTTGGTAGCACATGTTAGCTTAAGCATTGTGTCCCCCCTTTATAGTACAACTTTTCTTATACTCAAATTCAAAATATAAAAAGAATTTAAACCCCCTTTGAGTTTGAAGCCATCAACATTTATAATTGGAGGCTCCTCCATTTCGTGTAACATCCTTGAATATAGATTCCCTGCTTGTCATCTCGATAAATCTCATTAGTTCTCTAATTACATGGTCATTATCACCAAAACCCACAATTAGGGCTTGATTGCACTTTCACTCTTGCACCTCGAATCCATGACTTGGCCACCACCTGCTCGCATCCCTGCGCTGCTACCACCTCCTCGCCGTTCTCGCCACCTCCATATGACACTCGTCGTCCGGGAGCCTCCGCACCGCCGGAGGTCTCCACCAGAGCCGATCGGCCCAGGGACCGCCAGATCCAGCATCGGAGGTGGTGGATCTGCGGCCTCCACCCCGGCCTGGCATCGCTAGCTGCACCACCATGGGACCGCGGGCGTGCCATCGCCAGGAAGCCGCCAGCCAGCGCCACCATGGCGCCATTGGAGCACACCCTGCCAAGCCTAGGCCAGCCACGCCACCACGGCGTAGCCGACGAACTGCCACATACCGCCACCTCCGCACGCACTGCACCAAAGGCTCGCAGTGCTGTAGACCTGGGCGGACTGTCTTTCACCACCGCAGCCACCGCGCCGTCGCAGCCGCCTTCCACCACCACAGCCGTCGTCGCAACCTCCTTCTACCACAGTAGCCGCTACGCCGCTCCTTGGCAGGTCACGACAAGTGCGCCTTCACGCCACCATCGCGTGGCACCTCGCCCCACCACAGCTCGGATCCAGGCAGCCGTCCACGCCGCTCGTGCGGCAGTCCTCGTTGCCGCCGCGTGTCACCATGCCGCACACGGCCTCCGAGCCGCCACCACCACACCTTCTTTGTGTCTCGAGCTCCACCGCTAGTTCCCAGACCGGTAGGGCTGGGATTGAGCTCCAACCCACCAGATCTGGCCGTCCTTCGCAGATCGGGCCTGGGGGAAGCGGATCCGCTCACTGGAGCCGAGAGAGGCGTCACCACCGTCGCTTGAGGTTGCTAGGACCTCCACTGTGCGGGAGAGAACCCCGCCGCCACCTTCCTCGCGGTCGCACGGACCTCCGGTGACCTGCTCCGGCGGCGGCGAGGCGGGGAATGGAGGTGGTGTGGGCGGCAGCGCTAGGTTTGTTGGTGTGCGCCCGAGCTGCCCCAAGGAGGAGCGACACATGATCTACTTAATCTTAAACTCTAATATCTTCCAAACCCATATCCTGATATCATGCAAACTTCTAGATGAGATTTGTAGATGTTCCAGGGGACCTTAACAACCTTACAACGACTCTAGTATGGTGTATCTCCTGGACAGGTCCTTCCTAGGAGGTCTATATAGATTTTCAGTTAGATCTATCTAAAACCAGATAGGTTGGTTCTGAAAACATGCTAAACCGGTTTTTGCGGGTTTGTTGTGAGTTGCTATGTTTTTTTATTCGAGCGCGCTAGCTCTTTTGGTGTGAGATGTTTATTGCATTAAAGAACTGATTTCATATTTCACAAATATTTATTACATGATAACACACCATATAACTCCATGTATTCTGGATACACTCAACTACGCAGGAGTATGTATTTACTCCCTCCGTTCTAAAATATAATGGATTTTCGATTGTCCTAAGTCAAATCTTACTGAATTTCATCTAGTTTTTTTTAGAGGATAGTCATATTTACAATATCAAATGAGCTTTATTAGATACATGATAATTTTCACAACTTAGCTCTTTGATATAGTAGTTGTTAATACTATTTTTTATAAATTTAATTTAATCAAACTTAAAATGGATTAACTTAGAAGAACTAGAGAGAGGGAGTATCTCTTATTACCATTTTATATGAATCATCCCAAGTCATGATCACCAGAGTAGTGGACGGCACTGTTTGCCATGCGAAGGGACAAAGGCTTAAAGGAACTTTCGTCAAAAGCGTAGGAATAAATCTGCGTGGTGCAGTCTGAAATCGGATAAAGGCGAAAGCATCATGCACGTAGGATGTACTAGCATCCTCCACTGATGATTCGGATTCACCAATCATCTGATCGTACCGAAGCCGATTGGCGATTTACCAATAATCCATTACTCGAATACCCAACTCTATCCGAATGTGAAGCAAAAGCAAGTGTTGATCGATCGACACTGCTGGGCTCTTCCTACACGGATCGCACATTCGCACTATGGCAGCGCGTGTGAATCCACGGGCACCTCTGACACTGCATCCGCATCCGTCCGTTAGATACACTCACCTCATCTCGGCTGTGCAACGCCAATTTATGACCAAATCTTTAGATAAAGCAAACATGGGTCTCTCGTAGCAGCACCAACGCAGGCTAACGGAAGCGTTGGCTTCGGGAAAAAAAGTGACCGACCACGTAGTCTCAAGAGGAGTGAAGCCACTGGTGGTTAAAAAAACAGTCGGATCATTCGGCCTATTCGTTGGTTGGTTTTTTGACGGATAAGTCTAATGGGTGCTGGTTTGTTGTGAGAGAAAAACATTGTTGACTAACTGATAAACCCTGACTAAAACCAACAAGCGAACATGTTATGGTAACACAAGTTTAGTTTTTCGAAAAAGCAGCTCTGTTCACCTGTGCTCTCTCTCGATCCACACACAACACACCATCTGTCACCGGACCTTCGCTTTTTATCCTCGTAATGTATGTCCGGTTGAGAGCTTATGCTCTATGTCGGACGAAGCACAAGGTGCCTCTACAAGCTAACATGATGCTATTCGAGATCACTATTTGAGCTGATTTGGAATTTTGGAGCAGACGTGGAGCCTAGGGCTACAAGCGGAGCGTTGGGCCCTGGCCTCAAGGGAATGCAAGATGGGTCCACCTAGTCCCGGCCCACCGCTCAGCCTCCCTCCGCCCTACCAATCTCTGCCCCACCTCCTCCAGCCCCACCGCCACCGCCTCCCGCTCCGCCGCCTCCTCGCGGCGCACGCGCTCGCCGCCGTCGCTGGGCACCTCTCCGTTCGGGACCCGCGCCCGCACACCCTCCTCCTCGTCGCCTACTCCCGCCTCGCGCGCCCCTTCCCCGCCGCGCTCCTCCTCCTCTTCCGCTCCTCCCTCCGCCTCTCCGTCGCGCCCACCCGCCACTCCCTCCCGCTCGCCGTCTCAGCCGCCTCCTCCGCGGGCCACCGCTGCTACCTGAGGCTCGCGCTCTCCCTCCACGCTGTCGCGGTCGCCTGGAACCTCCTCCCGTTCCCGCACGTGGCCAACACGCTCGTCGCCCTGTACGCGAGGCACGCGCTCCCGGACGCCGCGCGCAGGGTGTTCGAGGAAATGCTCTCTGCCCCTGACGTCGTCTCCTACAACACGCTGATGCACGCGTACGTAAACGCCGGGAGGGTAGGCGTTGCTCGGAAGGTGTTCGAGGAGATGCCCATTCGGGACGCCACGTCCTGGGGCACGGTGATCGCCGGTTGCGCCAAGGCGGGGCGGCTCGAGGAGGCGGTGGGACTATTTGACCGGATGAGGGAGGAGGGTTTCAGGCCTGACAGTGTCGCCCTGGTGGCGGTGCTTTCATGCTGTGCGCAGCTAGGGGCGCTGGACAAGGGCCAGGAGGTGCATCAGTACATCAAGCTGAGCAGGACCCGTCCCAACGTGTTCTTGTGCACAGGGCTTGTTGATCTCTATGCCAAGTGTGGGTGCGTCGAGGAGGCTAGGGAGGTGTTCAAGGCCTGCCAGGACAGGAACGTGTTCACGTGGAATGCTCTCATTGTTGGGCTGGCGATGCATGGCCACGGAACAGTGGCGCTTGAGTTCTTCCACCAGATGGTGGCTGATGGAATCCAGCCAGACGGGGTCACTCTCTTGGGGATGCTGATTGCTTGTAGCCACACTGGCCTTGTGGACATGGCAAGGCGCATCTTTTGTGACATGGAGGGCAAGCACAATGTGCACCGGGAACTGAAACACTATGGGTGTATGGCCGACTTGCTTGGTCGTGCTGGACTGATCGAAGAAGCAATGGAAATGGTCAGGAAGATGCCCATGGAAGGGGACAGTTATGTGTGGGGAGGCATACTTGCTGGATGTAGGATGCATCGGAACGTGGAGGCCGCTGAGGTTGCAGCTTGGCATTTGTTGCAACTGAATCCAGGTGACAGTGGGGTGTACTCTGCAATGGCTGGGATCTATGCAGATGCCGGCAGGTGGGAGGATGTCGCAAGGATTAGAATGTTAATGGATGAAAGGATTGGCAGGAGGAATGCTGGCTGCAGTTCAGTTACAACATAACTCAAAGATGGTATCACTATGATGAACTATCTGGTCACAGTGAGATGTACCAGAATTCAGAAACACTGAAAGTAGAAATTAGTTTGGCTGTGAGAATTTAGATATATTTCAGGATTTGTTATCGATGTATAGCTTGATCTCTTAGTGATGCCAAATCTCCACTGTCAGGAAGATAGCCATGGAAGAGGACAGTTATGTGTGGGAAGGTATACTTGTTGGATGCAGAATGCATTGGAACGTGGACGCAGTGGAGGTTGCAGAGCATTGGTATCACAGTGGAGTGTAGCAGATTTCTGAAACGCTGAAAATAGAGAACAGTTCAGAAAGACGACCAGCCCTAGTTGCAATGATAATACCCGCTAAGACTCCTATACCATTTCATGCGAGAATTTGGACATATTCAAGATCTGTTACCAGCATATCTCCAGCTCCTAGTGATACAAATGTCACTCTGTCTGCGGGTGCAGGACCTAACCATTATATTTCACTACTGCTGCAAAATGGGAATATGATGCTGGAGTGTGATCTTGCAGTTTCACGCTGAACGTGATGGGTGCTTTCATCCGAGAAATTGCAGATCCAAGAAATTTGTGGGAACTGGTTTCTCTTGTCAAATCAAATGCTCATTCTAACAGACTAAGGAAGTAATGAATGAACTGAAGAGGATGTGGAAAAATTCCTGGCACAGCACTGCTATATTTCTTTCATGGGCTGGCTGCAGGTCCGATGAATATATTTCTCAGGAATTCGATCTGAAAGTCGAGTATCGGCGTGTTCGCTGGTTGGCTTCTGGGCTAGTTGGTGCTGGTTTGTTGTGAGAGGAAAACACTGTTGGCTGGTTGAATAAGCCTGGCTGAAACCAACAAGCGAACAGGGTGTATAAGTCAGACACTGCGCATTTCACATTTCTCTCCCAGGAAATTACTCGCTTGAGACAAGAAAGCAATCAAGTTTACTTGTCCTGCCGTTGATTACACTTCGACACATAATTTACCCATGCCAGTTGGTGTTGTCACTTCATTTTCATGTTCTCCAGCCCTGTTCGCTCGAGCTTATCAGCCTGGCTTATCAGCCATGGTATAGTGTTTTCTCTCACAACAAATCAGCTTTAGCCGGTTTATCAGCCGCAGAAACCATCACACGACCTCTCTGGTTCATCTCATTTAAGACTGGCTTGACAGTTCATATCAAAGAAAAGTATCGTGCTATTTTGCTCTGATGTTTAATGGATAGCATGATTGTGAATATTTGACTGATTTTAAAAAGAAATTAAAACTCACACTCCTTCGCAGTAGAAAATGTTGAATTCATATCGTTACTGTATTAGTGCTGTAGTGGTTGTATGAGTGCGTCTATTTTTAGCCTTTGTGCTTCGTTCACAAAGACAAACATCTTTCCTAAGGTCATTTTCTGCTAAGGTCTTGCATCGGACGAGAAGGTAGACGAGCTGCTGACGAAACCAATGCACCACATGTCCACATGCGAGTCTGCTTCAATCAAATCTTCTAAACCATTTGAATATAGAAAACAAAACCAAATGCGAATACAAATCCTATATAAAACTGGAAACAGAGGAAGTGTTTCAAGAGAATTATTTGCACTATGTGTTCAATAATCCACAAAAAGTTCGTATTTGAACTTTGAAAAGAATTCCCACAGCCTCATTCCCTTACTAGTACTGCAAAGTGACATAACAAATTTTCCTTGAGCACCTATTTCTTTTTATCTCTACTCTTAAAGAGCCACAGTGCGAATAACCGACAGATTTCGAGCATGAACCAAAATTCCAGAATTCCCTTTCCTTATGATAGCAATTTCTTGTACATTTCAATCTTTCATGACAAAAATACCTTGCCTAATGTCACTCCACACCAAGATAAACTGCTGACTAGAACAATGAAACATATACAATTCTCCTGCAGCCAAATCTTCTGAGTTGTTTGAAAACAGAAAGCGAAACCAAATGGTTTCATGAAAAGCATTGTGATTGTACAGTAACACCCTGCAAATCCTATAGAACTGGAATGAGAGCAATGCTTCAAGAAAATCATTTGTATGAGGTCGTTTATGGATCCATAAAAAAAAATATCCAAATTTGAAGAGAGGTCCTTTGACCTCATTCCCCCAAAAGAAAAACACGAGATTCAGTTCCTTCAAAATTCCCTTGTTTCAAAGACGGTACGAAAATGATTCTGTAGCCCGTATCGACGTTATAAAAACACAACCAGAGAGAAATCTCAACCTCTTAAAAAGATCGCGAAGCATTCCTAACTCGCAAGTAGCAATTCTGCAAGCCTGCAAATCAGGAATTGACAGCTGGACGAGAGCAAGAAACAATCACCTGAACACTTCTCCATTCTGTTTAGCAAGCCTGCAGCACCTGGCTGTTTTTTCTTTCAGCGCAATTCAATTATGTAGGGTCTGCGGCATAATATGAACCAAAGCAAGATGGAAGAAAGAAGATGACTATCACATTTGTAACCTTTTTATTTCGTTTGAACCAAGTACAACAAGCTTTTTCATGTATGGAATGGCTACACAGATGCTATCCAAGGAGAAATGTAAAAATGTCTCTCAATGAGATGATTCCTTCCACAAATCTGGTACTTTGTTCAATAACAACAAGCCGTCGCACTCCTGATGACAAGACATACAGAGCGTCAATTTTACACTAGAACAATATTAACTATTTAAAAAAAATGAAATTCCAACTTGCTCCTGATATGGCACATAAATCAGAATCACACACTAGTACCTGGAACAGACAATCCCTCCAAGACTTCCAGCAAGGTACTCGTCTGCAAACAAGTATGACAGTGTCTTCGGCCATGCACCTGGTATTGCACATCCAAAGCCTAAAATAGAGTAAAAGACAACAATTGTATTATTCTCTGAGAGAACCAATTCTGCAAGGGCAGTGTATGATGAAATACAAAAACATTAACAACCGGTGTAAAGTGAACACTTTGAATGGATAAATTTATTTCTGTAAGCTTAAAGAAGCTTGAGGGGCAGTTTGGCAGGGCTCTCTGGAAGTGATTCTCTCTGAGCTTCCAGGCTGAATTGAGGAGAAGCTCTGCCAAACAGATTTTTACTAAGAAGTGAGCCTTTGCTAATTCTATGAAGTGATTCTCTAAAATGGACTAGGAGGCTGGGAGCTGAAAAAAAAAGTAGCTTCTCCTGATTCACTTCATGCACTGAATCATTGTATGCATAGAATATCCTAGAGAATCGTAGAAAATCAATTTCGGTCAGAGAATCTCGGCCAAACTGCTCACACAGAATCAGGTGGAGAGTAGGCAAGAATCACTTCTCCATTTACACTAGGAGGTGGGAGCTAAAAAAAACCTGCTCTACACTGCTCCCTGTTCCAAACCCACAAGAATCAATGTAGAATCAATTCTCACCTGCTCCCCCACCATAATCAAGTAGAATCACTCCACTAGAGAACCAAGGAGCAGAGCCAGAGAATCTAGGAGTGGAGCTCTGCCAAACAGGCCGTCTATTTCTTGGGTTGCTCTGCCTGCTTCCTCTGATTAGATTCAAAGCAAGTTTGAGAAGCCAATTTACCATCAACTCTCCTTAATCCAATGTTGTCTCTGTCAGACTCCTAGGGGCTCTGCCACCACCATTGAAATGAGCCCAAGCTAAGAACTCACATTTGCACCACTCATCACATTAAATTCCTACCAAGACTATTGTTTTCGAGTAGACATTAACAAGCTCTGAAGTATTGATGAGGCAACTTGCAGCCATCTGGTCAGTTCTGTCACGATCTACAGCTACCACATGGTTTGCAGTCGGAATCTATGAAGACTTGACCATCACCAGTCAGCCATTATAGTGGATGAAGCTGGTGAAGGCTAAATCATCTTTGCATGGTGTTTATAGGCAACTGGAAGCACAATGAGAATCAAATAAGGGCTCCTATGATTATTTGACAACATGGGTCACCTGACATGTATTATACCCAACTGGCAAAGCAACCTAAGGTCATGTCCACTTCAAACCACCAAGCCAAACAATCAAGTGATCTTCCTTGATCTGGTCTTAGAAGATGAAGGGGTAAATAACCTGTTTCATAATTCAGGGTGTGATTCTAAAATGTACTTATTCATATATTAAACATAATGAGCGATTGGACTTCAGACTGGAACACAAATCTCATTTGCATTTTCCATTCTGATGGACAACACAATACTGCAAAGGACTTGTGTTGAATGCTGGCCATCAAATTCAAAAGCAGAGGAATTGCAGTTTTTCAGTTATGCAAGTGAGTATACGCAAAAACAAAACAAAACAACAACAACAAAGCCTTTAAGTCCCAAACAAGTTGGGGTAGACTAGAGTTGAAACCAGGCACGTGAATAGCTGTTTTCCAAACACTCCTATCTAAGGCTAAGTCTTTGGGTATATTCCATCCTTTCAAGTCTCTTTTTATTGCCTCTACGCAAGTCAACTTCGGTCTTCCTCTGCCTCTCTTCACGTTACTATCCTGGCTTAGGATTCCACTATGCATCGGTGCCTCTGGAGGTCTCCGTTGGACATGTCCAAACCATCTCAACCGGTGTTGGACAAGCTTTTCTTCAATTGGTGCTACCCCTAATCTATCACGTATATCATCGTTCCGAACTCGATCCCTTCTTGTATGACCGTAAATCCAACGCAACATACGCATTTCCGCAACACTTATCTGTTGAACATGTCGTCTTTTCGTAGGCCAACATTCTGCACCATACAACATAGCAAGTCTAATCGCCGTCCTATAAAACTTGCCTTTTAGCTTCTGTGGTACCCTTTTGTCATATAGGACACTAGATGCTTGGCGCCACTTTATCCACCCTGCTTTAATCCTATGGCTAACATCTTCATCAATATCCCCGTTTCTCTGTAGCATTGATCCTAAATATCGAAAGGTATCCTTCCTAGGCACTACTTGACCTTCCAAACTAATATCTTCCTCCTCCCGAGTAGTAGTGCCGAAGTCACATCTCATATACTCAGTTTTAGTTCTACTAAATCTAAAACCTTTGAACTCCAAAGTCTCCCGCCATAACTCCAGTTTCTGATTCACTCATGTCCGACTTTCATCAACTAGCACTACATCGTCCGCGAAAAGCATACACCAAGGGATGTCCCCTTGTATATCCCTTGTGACCTCATCCATCACTAAGGCAAACAGATAAGGGCTCAAAGCTGACCCTTGATGTAGTCCTATCCTAATCGGGAAGTCATCCGTATCTCCATCACTTGTTCGAACACTAGTCACAACATTGTTGTATATGTCCTTAATGAGCCCGACGTACTTCGTTGGGACTTTATGTTTGTCCAAAGCCCACCACATAGCATTCCTTGGTATTTTATCATAAGCCTTCTCCAAGTCAATAAAAACCATGTGTAGGTCTTTCTTCTTCTCCCTATACCGCTCCATAACTTGTCTTATTAAGAAAATAGCTTCCATGGTTGACCTTCTAGGCATGAAACCAAATTGGTTTACAAAGACCCGCGTTATTGCTCTCAAGCGATGCTCGATAACTCTCTCCCATAGCTTCATAGTATGGCTCATCAACTTAATTCCCCGGTAATTAGTACAACTTTAAATATCCCTCTTATTCTTGTAGATCGGTACCAATATACTTCTCCTCGACTCGTCAGGTATCTTGTTCGATCGAAAAATACGCAAAAACAAAAACAAAACAAGACAAAGAAGCGGTGTCTGCCACACAATTAAAAAGCAAGAGGAAATTAATTACATTTTGCACAGTCACTTGTTCAAGTTCGATGTGAGCATAAACATCATTCTTCGCCAGAGCCATGATATCACTGTAGAAACAAGCTCAGAATTAAGATACACCAAGAGAACAGCCAAAATGATAATTAAAACTAACATGGTGATTCAGAAGTCAGGTCACGGCTACTTTCTCTTGATTTGACGAACTCAAAATGTTGCACAATGTTATATAGAGAGCATTCCAGAAGGAACTAAGTAATATATAATTACAAAGGTGACATATTAGGGGATCAGCAATGAAGATAACAGGTCTTTGTTAGGCTTCACGAAACTGGCACAGGGCTAGTTTTTGGAACATAAAAAAATATAAAGCAGATAACGTTACCAGAAACCATACAAAGATTATGCCAAACCGACACACGTGTCAAGAGTCAAGACACAGAAGCCCCCTTTTTCATCTTATTGGATGCACCTAGGATGTATTTTGATGAGCAAAAGATCACCAAATGGTAAAAGGGGTTTGCTACTTGGGGTTTAGGAGGATGGTCAGAAAATTGGTAGTGTTGTTACTATACTGAACAAACATAGGTCTACTCCCGAATTTCTAAAAAGGTACAGACAAAGCACTATCCGAAAACCAGATGAAAGTGAAGCTTTCAGTAGTTCTAGACCCACAAGAGACCTTTTCTCTTCCATTTGAAACACCTTGTTGATATGCATCTTGCTATCCAGGGAATTGATAGATGATAAGAATGTCTAAAGCACTGAGTAGAAATAATGTCCAAGGTCATGGGGTGGCTAAATAAGGATAAGGTAGCAATTAGGATTTCAGCACCTGAGTATTACTACTTTTTACAGAAACAATTTCGTATATAAGATCGCTCTCATTCCCTCAAAGATGAATCCACAAGAAATAAGCAAACCACTTTGACCTTATCAAGTGGGCAAACCAATGGTGTTTTGTGGGTCAGCTAGCTTAGTTCATTTTCCAGCATGTCATTCTAGTTCATTTCAGCAAGTTTTGAGTCGACCCAATGATCCAAAGCTTGTGGGACTTGCTCCCTATTTATCATCTCAAGAATCTCAAAATACACATCCCTTCCAAAAAAAAACAAGCCGTAGTTGACCAAAATAAGCATTGCTTTCAATGTTGGAAATAACAAATAGAATCATATAAGGAATAATATCTTCAAAATGGTTTTAATTTGAGGTGCATTGTGGCATTGCACAAAGATGCATAGCACCGTAGCCACAATGCAACAGTTCATCTGGCAGAAGCTAATTGGTTTCATTAATACTACCTACAGCCATAAAAACATGTAATTGAGGACAAAATTGAGTCAAACCATAAAAGTTAAGGACATCAATAACTTTTAAATTACTTAGTCTGAAAACATGTAGGTTAAATGTGTAGAATTCTGTTGGAAAATACTTGCAAAATCTCATAACTTTGAAGGATTTTAAGAATATACTAGAAGAAATTAATGGTCAAATATATGTATGGAAGACTGCAAGTCAAATGCACCAATACTTTTGGCCAGAGGGAGTACAAGAAAACAGAACAGGATAGCAGCATGGCAAAAGTAAATATTACAGTATGCAAACCTGAGTGAGTAGACATCATGGAGGGATCCATTGTCATCAACTATAGGAATTGAGCTTACTCTATCTGGAGAAGAATGAATGGACATAATAGTTCAATTAAGCAACTGTTACTTTATAAAGGCTGACAGCTACAAGCTCAGAAGCAGCACATGCCAAAAAGGACAGGCTTAAAGGAGAATCTCCAGACTAGGTAAAAAAAAAATTAATCCTCAATGTTGCATTTTCTTGGCATTTTAAATGTGCTTGATATGAGTTTATTGCACATATTACAGCTTCATACCATAGATCCATCTGTCAAAATCACTAGAGTTAACAAAACCATATAAAATCCTCCATAAATACGGATATGACCTTGCTCACTAAGTTCTCCAATTGGCTAGTAAAAATGCATTTCCTAATGTGCCACTGCAGGAGCAAAATAACAACAATTTGTAGGGAACACAGTATACAGATCTGGGTGTGACACTTAGCAAGTTTTGCAGGAATCTGACAGCTTAAAAACTGATGAACATTTGCCTTCAGCAACTTTAAAAAGTATGATTCAGCAGGACCAAAAAAATGGATTATTTTCTGTAACAAGTAAAGAAAATCGTAACAGATGGAGACTAAAGTGATGTGATGCATGATCCTACTGATCATCTCAGGTGTTATTTTGTGTATTTTCCATGGTACATTAGTTCATACCTTCACTGTTGAACTGAAATTGTTATCTGCATTATTCAAGAAGAACTAATCACATACTTAAGTTGATTGCATAGTTCGTGATTGCCGTTTATGATCCTAAGAATCAGTTGAAAGTATCAATACGAATGTTGCACCTGAAATGTCAGTGTACCTTGAAGCAGAAAATCCAGGCAAGTATTTAGAGGAGAACTCAGTAGCAAAGTTCTGAGTTGCCTGCTACTTGACCTCCCCGTATGTGGAGACCATGTACCAATAGGAATACTGAGAAGCTGATTGTGCAGAAGGGAACAGCCTTCAGCCTGTTCTTGTAGCTTCGAGCAAAGAACTAAAAACATCAAGATAAAAAAAAAAGAACATACAATTTAACACAGGTGAAATTAATCAAATATGAACCAGTATTATAATCTTATAAAACAATATCATACATTTCAAAATCCCCTGGAGGGTTGCAAGATTAAGGAAAGGCATCCCTGATGAATCAGGCATGCACTTAAAGATAGGAACTGAAGATATTTCATTTCTGATTATAGTCAGTGCCACATCCACTAAATTATCTGAATCCTTAACCTGAAGAAAGACATGTAACACCATAAGATTTAAAAAAAATGCGTACTATAAACCTTTAGTTACAATCAATACAGAACATTCAAATTAAACTACCCCCACTCACACACAAACTCAGGTGAAAGAATATAGATGACGAAATGCACACAACTAAAACTGCAGGTCAAATAATTATAAGGAAATGATATTCCAAAAACAATTATATCTATGTTTATATTGATTCAGTGACATCGTCATTCATCATAATCATATATATTTTCCTACAATCACTTGATATTTTCGAGGAAATGATGGCAATAGTGTCAATTTATCCCTATTTCAAGACATTAGACGATTTGTAATTTTTCTGACACAAATGGCATTAACCTTAATGTTGTATTGGAGACCATATCGAGAATTTCATACAGATAATATATTTTCATATTTTGGAAGTGCTGACCTTGCAACTGCTTACACATCGAATCAAATGAAAGAATCAAGCAAATATATGGACAAGTACATGGATTAATGGCCTTCTCTGCATGGCAGCACCATCAGGCCCACCATAGAACTGTAGCTTTGCTTCTTTCCAAGCAGAAATGGGATGCATTTCAAGCTCTTCATTGCCAATAACTCGAATGTTTCTCTGCAACTGCATAGCAAATGATAATTCATAAGAACATAAAATGCTTTCAAGGAGAAATAAAGTAATTTATTCCACCCACCTTTCTCAACATTAATACAAAATCTGATGCAGTGAGCATGCCTGTTATGGTTCCCTGATGGTCATCCCAAAGAGGAACCAGGGCAAGACCCTATGAGACACAAAAAGTTCAAAGCTATTCTTAAATTATTAAATTGATGCCACGTATGCAGTGCAGATGAAAGAATTGCCTGCTTCTAGGAACGATTTTGTTGTTTATTATAAACTGTACAACATAGTAGGAAAACAAATTAAACTGCTTCTTAATAAGGCAAATAATTGCTAACACAGCTTTAAAAATTCTTCAATAATGAAGGTAAAACAGAGCAAAGTTGAAGTGAGAGCAAACAAGCACCACAGAGGGAAAGTGAACGATTGGAAGCAACTCTTGCAAGCACAGTAACACACATACCTCGTCATGCATTATTTTAAATGCTTGTTTAACAGGAAGCTGAGTGTCCAAAACTGCTAACTGAAATGTTCATATTAAATCAGATTATTCACATAGTCTAAAGAGAAGCGCTGACTTGCAAGAAATAAACCTAACCTTGCTAGAAATAGGAACAACGTCATATATGGTATTGTGTAATAATATTCCAGAGACCACATGGCAGAAAACTGCTATTTGCACGCCTGGCTCCGGGGGCATCTTTGTTTATTTAAGGCCACAGTAAGTAACAGACCATTAGTTATCAGGAATATGGAGAACACGAAAATATAATGTCAAACTTCTGAGACATACTGTTGTCAAAATGATACCCTCATCCACATTAGTTCCTCTGATAGAAGGCTCTGGCTGCACAACAGGTTGTACATTGTTTTCCACAAGCACTTCATTGCTGATCATTCCATATTCATCACGTACAAAGGGTTTCGCCTCATCACACCTCCAGACACCATCAACCAAAAACCGGTACTGAATTGCACCAAAAGGTCATATAAATGTATGTGGCACAGAAAATGTCACAGGAGAAACAGAATGTCGTATGCAAATAGCTGGGCAGTGAGCACTGGTACAGCAAATATGCACTACTACAGTATCATGTTCAAATCGCTTGCTAACCATTGAACGGAACCAAACAATCACATGTGAACATCATAATTGACAGAACTCACAATAACAAGGGTGTGAATTTGGTACCGGCGTGCAATGTTATGTCCAAGAATTACATTGATAGATGAAAAAGCAAAACATCAAATATACAAATCCATCGTGAATATGTCAAATATATCATGTTTCTATCAATTGCTGGAATTGAAAAACATCTTGATGCTCAAAATAGTTGTCTGGTATATGCAAAAGTAGTTCCAAGTAAGGCCAACAATTAAGGGGCATTCAGGATTTATTTAGTGTAACTAAAAGTATTAATTGCCACTAGGGAAAAAGAGGTGCAATAAAGAAACTCCCTGTACACGTGGAAAGAAATGACAAATACAGAAACCTGAGAGACAGAAATGTCGCTGTATTTAATTGTCACTCGCTTTACAATGGCGTTAAATGGCTGCTTTCTGATGCAACAACTGCAATGGCATTCTACTTTACAGCAGGCATTATGTAATGGCCAAAACCTCTTGTCGGAAACGACAGAAACAGTGGGATGTGGGCTGTCCACCAACACCTATGCCAGGTCTGCCACTATAGGATACAAACTTTATAACACTTTATCTCTATGGATAATGTTGAAGTGCATGCTACATCTGTTCATGGTTTACGCAATGTTAGAACTCGAGATTGAACTAAAGTACCAAATAAGGCAAATTAACCAGGAGATTTCATCTGGCTGCTAAACTGAAATATGGTCGCAGAAAGTAAAGGACCATGTAACGTATCAATAGATGACAATGCCCGGTATCACCCACGATCATGTATATGGGATCACAAGAATACAAGATGCTTAATTCCAATGGTCATTTCACATAAGACCACCATCCCAGTGTTTACTAACCACTAAGGCACTAACCGTTACGCGCCACACCAAAATCCAGCAGGAACAGCAGTTTGTGTAGAAACAGAAATACAGAATAGCTCTCCACAACGACTGACCACATTTCCCCTTTATTTGTGCAAGGATTATCAGTCTAGCGACACATGTAAGCCCAAACATACCGCTGCCCAGAACCTCAACATGACAACACCCACCTGCCACAACTACCAACTAACCTTAGATGCATTGCCACCCCCCAACCATAGGAGAAACTAGTTCGTCATGATATACAAGCGAAATCACACCAAGCTCGTTTCTAGGCAATCATGGAAAGTAACAAGCCACACTAACAAGGACGCCTACCGTGCAAACTAAATTCTTCTATGTACAAGGATACCAGCCAAGGACTACGAGGCCTAGCTAGCCAGAGCAGAGTAACAAGCAGTGGAACAGACTCAAACTAAGGACGAAAGCAATCAACCAAACCAAGCACAGAGCAAAGAGCGAGCTGAATCAGAGCAATCCGAGCAGCGACCCACCTGGTAAACCCCGGGGGGCAGATCGAAGACGACCTGGAACTCGGCCCCGACCAGCCCCATGGGACATTGCCTCCACCTGCAGCCACAGCAAACACGAGCAGGAACAAGGAAACAGCATTATTACACCCCTCACTCACCCTCAGCCGCCGAGGCCAAACCCAAACCCAGACGGCCAAAAACAAAAAGGAGCCCGCCTTCGAAGCACCCCCGGCCGGCCCCGAGACGGAACCTCCTCGTACAGTGGTCGTACTCACCCGGTGAAGCTGCCGCAGAAGGAGGCGCTCCGGCCGCCGTACGGCCACGAGAAGCGCTGCAGCACCATGGCTCCGGGGAGGAACCCTAGCGCGAGCGAGCGAGCTAGCTAGCAGCGCCGGCGCCCACGACGCCGACGAGATGACCGACAAAACCCTAGCTCCGCGAGACCGAGCCCATCCGCGGGGATTATATGGGCGCGCGGGGCTGGGGGCAAGGCGGAAGAGGAAATTTTTGGTGTGAAGGGGGCTCTGCTTCTGCTCTGCTGAGCTGGGGGTGACGAGCGAGGGGAGGAGTGAGGAGAGAGAAAGCGGGGGTGTTGGTCTGTTGGAGCGCGTGTGCACCTACGCCGTCCCCGCCCTTGTTTTGTTGGTTTCTGCTTTGGGTTGGTTTGGGTTGTCGGAGCCTTGGAGGGTACGGCACTCTCCTCGATCGCCTCGCCTGCCCATTGTTGCGGCTGGTTTTTCTCCTTTCCTCCGGCGTCTGCCCATTGTTACCAGCCGAACAGGCCTTTCTTTTTTATTGGGTTTTTCACTGAAATCTCCGGGGCGCTCCGGTGCGCGTTTAGTTCGGCCGGAATCGGTATTTGCACAGTGTTTGATGTGACGGCAAACACTGTAGTAATTTTATTTGTATTTATGAATTATTGTCCAAATATTGACTAATTAGGCTCAAAAGATTCGTCTCGCAAAGTTCAACCAAACTGTGCAATTAGTTTTTGATTTCATCTACATTTAGTACTTCATACATGTACCGCAAGTTTGATGTGACGGAGAATCTTCTTTTTGCATAGTGCCAAAGTGGAGAGTTTGGGAAACTAAACAAGGGCTTGGTATGTTCTGGCTCTGCCCCTGTGTGCCGGACTGCTGGTGCTGGTTCTTTGGGCCGGCAGGGAATGATTGGCTTTCCTCGTGGTCTGGTTGACGTGGCTTTTTCATCTTTTTTACACCTTTTATTTATGGGAGCTTTTTGAGCTGTGTCAAAAGAGAGAAATGTGTTCAGCAGTAAATGTTTTGTCCTCTAGTGCACCCATGATATAGGACTTGTTTAGCACAGCTTCACCAACAACTTCACAAGCTGTTGTGAGCTATTTTTTTTTTGTCAAGCGCCCTTTTTCAAAACAGCTTCATCCTCCTCTCACCAAGGGATGAGTTGGGATGAAGATGAAAAAAATAGCTTATCCCAGCTTCATCAGAAACAAGTGGGCCCCAACATGGATAAAAGACTGCATGTGCCCCTCTCGGAGAAGGAGGGCGTAGGGGAGAGAGTCGTGACCACCACCGGGCGGGCACGTCGTCGTCGGGCCTCCTGGGCGCAACCGCCGGGACAAGACGCTGGAGCCCACCATGGCGCAGACGCCGGAGCTTCACATTGGGGGAAGACGATAAGATAAGGAAGAAGAAATAAGAGAGAGAGAGCAGGGTGTTTGGTCATTTTATCTTTTTTTTGTCTACATGTGAAGTTGTTTTGCCAAATGATGTGACAAAAACAGCTCAGCTTCACCGGTAGAGCTGTTCATTGAGCTGAAATCTAAAAAAATAGCTTTACTAGTGAAGCTGAGCTATACCAAACGGGGTCATACTTTGAAAATATTGGATGGACCATGACTTGTAAAATCATAGGAAAATGAGAGCTGATACTGTTACAACATGTAGCGCTTTCGTGTCAAGCATATGAAAAAAAACATGTTCCAAATGCACGAGCCCAATCCAAACAAAAGATAGATAAACCCAATCGAAGCAAAGAATAGATAGAGGGCAACAGTAGTGCTGGCATATGCTACAGATAGTTACAATTCTAATGATGTAAAAGAAACTACACATATATGCAGAAGATAGACTATTCTTAGAGTAGTATGGTAGGCATCTCAATCATGTAGCATATGATGAGAGGACTAATCAAGATAGGAAGAATACATTCACCTTTCATCAACCTTTATCCGTATTTGGTGATCTTTTACCTATTTTATTTTTTTATGAAAGCTTTGTTAACCTAAAGAAACATGATGTATAAGGAACTTTGTTATTTAGTTTGGCTACTTGGCTGTAGAGTTGCCAAATAGAACCTCAACTCTAGAGGTTTACGGAATATATAGCCAAATGACCACATGAATTTCACCTTTTCGTAGAAAAATGTTAAAAGAATTGTTAAGACGATACAACATGAACAATGATAAGGGGCAGTGGGGTGGATGGTGTTGCTCACCACTGCCATTGTTTCTTTAGCATTTGAGAATTGGTGTTACTAGCAGAGAGCATGTAGCTCTTTTATGCCTAGACGATTAAGCATACCTTATGTGTGTTGTAAAACCAAAAGATTGATCTATGGATGATAACAATTACTAGCTGTTTGGTTGTACCAAAGGAAACGCAAACGTAAACGAAATAGAGCTGCGGACGTCACCGGTGGGAGATAGATTTGAACTAAGTCCATTTACATTTACATTTGCATTACTATAGAAGGAACCAAACAGCACGTTAGATCTGTAGATTTTATAGACCGATGTGGCTTGATTGACGTCAAAGGAGCTTAATTATGCACTTGTGCAAAGAGATGTATTGTCCTTGGGGTTTAGTCTATCGAAAAAAAACTCAACATATTTACAAACTGAGATGCAAGCTTTATTTTTGCAAATATAAGTGACAATTTATTTGTATCATTTAAGGTTTAATTTTCTATGGCATGAGGATTGGTAAAGGAAATTACCATGGAATATTTTCGGTTTTGCCCCGCATTTATTTGGTAATGATTTTCTATAGCTTTTTGAGCCTTTGACTTTTCTATATAGTTCCTCTATAATATTTTCTGTGAAAAAAAAACTAGATGGAGACAACAGATGTAGCATTTTCTAGAGCATGACTAATAATAAAAGCCAATCATCAGTTGTATGTTGTTACCACATCATCTAAGCTTATCTAAAGCCCTAAGTGAGTTTCGCTGGATTGAATGACAACACGATTAAGGGACTAATGTATTTCATGAGATTTGGAGATGTTTAGTCCTAGGTTGATTGTATTATGACAGACTCATATTATATGTTGTAATCACTATCAATGAGAATTGAGTCCAAGTTGATTATTGAAATATAGATGGGACACGAGAATCTACATACGGAATGGTCTAACTCTTGAAGCTTGCTTGTTCAAATCAAGATGAAGAAATGTTATTCAATGTGTGCTTAAAGTTGATTCAAAGCAAGATGTGACTTGATTGCTTGATAGAGTGAAGATAGCAAGGAAAGGGCTTCGAGGTACTAAGTGAAGGTGAAGGGCAAGTGACGGATTGGCGACCGAGGGACCATGGCTAGGGTGAGGGAGAGAGAACTTGCACCGAGTCGATGTACTAATCAAGCTATATATACAGAGTTATGTTGATGTGGAGTATCAAATCATTGTTGAAGTACTTGGAAAGATGAGTTGTGGATGAAAAGCGTAGTCTTGATCATATGGTTGAATATATCCAAAGTCATAGCTCAAGTGATTCAGCTCAAGGCAATGAAGGTGCTAAAATCCCTCAAATGATCAAAGTTGAGAAAGCATCAATATTTGAAGAAAGACAACCTCAAGCGATATTAGTTGTGAATCTTTGATTCTAGAGTATAGGGATGTTGTATTATTAAGAGGGATGCAACACTAAGCGGTAGATGTGACCTAGAAGTGCTAAAAAACAACCTAAGTAGGAAATCCGAGCGATTAGCATAGGTGTGAGAGTTTTAGTGTGCAGGACAGGAAAGCCAGCTAGGCCAGTTTTGCAGACTCTCTCAACCAACAGCTAGCTGGTTTGAAAAACCAGCTAAGCCGGTTTTGGAAGACTAGGTGCCGATGGCTAGTTTTTGTGGGAGGTCATTAATACCCCCTCCCATAGCCTTTGATTTGTTGCTAAAGCTTTCCTACGTCCATATACACCAACAAAGCCTAGAGAGCTTCCAATTCACCCTTTGCAGAACATGAGTGAATTTAGCCAAATCTGTTGAATTGGAGAGCAAGATTTAAGACTTGTGAGCTTGTGTGTGAGCAACAGTGAGCTGAGCAAGCCTTGAGCACTTCGTGGTAACATCAAGTTTTGGTGTAAAGCATTTTTTACTCTTGGAGCTTTTGCTCCTATATGGTTGGATGTCATCAACAAGCAACCAACAAGGTTGTGGTGCGCCACTGGACAGTTTATGCGGGCTATGATCTTGCCCATGGAAGAAAAAAGATCACTTAGTGGAGTGTGGAAAGTGGTCATTTGAGACACGGCTAGAGTAGACCTTAGGTCACTCATGGCTTCCATAATAGAGACGTACACCTCATTTCGGGGCCCAAACTTTGGTCAAACAAACCATTGTGTCCCATTGTTAGGTTTACCTCGCTTGCATATTTAAATTTCATATATTTGATATATATAGTGAGCTTCCACTTGTAGCTACTCGGTTGTGCTTGTTTATTTGTGAATGTAGGTATACTTCAAATAAGTTTCAAAACACTCAAAAAGCACCACCAAGCAACTTGGATTGAAAATCCTCCCCAAAAAAAGTAACTTGGATTGAAAAGGGAAAGGATATAAAGCAAAAAGGACGGCATCAAGATGCTGCTTTTATAACTAGAAGCAATGGTGGTAGGTGGAATCAATAGTGTAGAATTAATGTTGTGATATGAACAAAAACTGACAGTGACATGCAAAATGTCAATGCCGAGTTATGGTATAACCCGGCAAGGATATATCACTACCGGGTCGTAGCATAAACCGATAGTGGTATGGATCCTCGCCCTACCACCTGACAATGATTAGTACTCACTGTCAGCTCCAGCACAACCGACAATGATGCTTCGACAGTGATTGCGTGTTCTAGAATAGTGCAGGGTGGTGGAATGTGTTTGGGTTTTGGGGAAGGCCAAGGGTGGGGGACAATTTATATACACATATGAAAGCACTATTTTGTTTGGGGAATTGATGAAACCCTAAGTGCTAACCTATTGCTCTAGTGATTATGAGATAGATGGCACATTCCAAGTAATGGAGAAAATGTAGATCATGATGATGGTGATGGCATGGTGATGATCAAGTGCTCGGGTTTAGAAAAGAAGAAAG